CCGGCTATTAAGCCCACGGTTAATAAGCCCGCCGCTTATCAAGCCCAATTTGATCTGGGCCCGAGGTGGACTTAATAACCGGCGACTACTGCATTAAGCCCACGGTTAATAAGCCCGCCGCTTATTGAGCCCAATTTGGTCCGGACCCGAGGAGGGCTTAATAGCCGGCGACTACTGTATTCCGAGTAAGTAGAGGCTCACAGCTCATCAGTGCTTCCCCTGATTTTCACCCTTCTACCTCTGTTCACCGAATCTGTTTAAGTTCTTCTTAAGACTAAGAGGGCTAGAATATTGCTGCCCGACTTTTCCTTTTTCGTTAAATTCCGCAAAATGAGGTCAATTTTCCATCAGTAGGCATCAGTTTCCTGAGCAACAGGAGTTTATGTTGATGGAGTTGATTATATTTAGCTCATTAAGCAATTATAAGAGGCTTCAACTTAATATTATTTGATCACTTTCAACACAATTACATACTCGTTTACACTCGTTAACCAAGAATTAAACGTTGAAACAGCAATTTCGTAAGACAGTTGGCGGGGGAATAGATATTTAGACGGCGCTACAAGACAGTTTTGCTGTCCAGTTTTGTTAGATATGGCTGGTCCGTGATCCTTTTTTAATTTATTGGTGATACAGTTGCAACAGTTCCCATCAGAGAATTTAGGAAAGCAGTTGGCGAGCGTACGTAAGCTTTCGATAACTTCTCACCGGGCCATTAAATTTATATAGGAACGAGATACAGGATTACACATACGATCACATTACTTGCCGCATTAGCTCGGCAGGCAGTATGTAGGAGGAGCTTAACAAAATCCAGGACCTTTCTCGCGAAAAATGGTATCCTGACAGATTCATTACAAGTAATGTGTTTGCGAGGGAAAGAAGACCCACCACACTGTTCGTGTATTTTTCTTAATCAACTCCGTCTTGCATGGGAAAGGTAAGGATATGTTGCCAGCTAAGTTCACCTCCATGTGCATTTTTTTCATAAACTTGCTTCTGTGGAGCAGGCTATATTAGTTGGCTGGCCAGTAGCCCTTGTTGGATCAGGAGTCCTGCCGGATTGGCCTCAATCCCGGCGGCGAGGAGAAGAAGGAGGAGTCGGAGCAGCCTGTTCGGGAGGGGCTGCTCCGTCATGAAAAACAGAATAAGGGAACACCTCCCGGCATGGTTGAGAAAAGGGGAAGTCAGGAGCATAAGCAGCGCTGTTCTCGCGCACATTGTGGATTCTGGACATTATGTCGACCCCAACGAAGCCTTCTAGGTGATTTATAAGGCTTCACCAAATTACCCCAAGTCTTTGGGTCAACAGCTATTACCAACAGCAGAAGCGACCTCTATCTAGGTTGCGAAAGCCAGTCTTGTGTGCACCAAAGAACCTCCTGGTTGCTCCACGCCCGGCATGGACAGTAGTCGCTGAACTGCATGCACTATTCCGCTTGCATTCTTACACCCCTTCTCTTGTACTGACTCCAGTTAACTCTCCACCACCGCGTAATCAGCCTTCTCTTATCGGCTGCACTCGCCGATGGATCGTCGTCCAGCTCGCTGTTACCGCTATTGTAAGAATAAGCCGTACCCCAAGTCACGTTTCTGTCGGGGTGTCCCAGATCCAAAAATCCGAATCTATGATCTGGGCAGGAAGAAGGCTAGCGCAGATAAGTTTCCACTCTGCGTCCACCTGCTGTCGAACGAATACGAAAAACTGTCTAGTGAAGCACTCGGGGCTGCTCGCATCTGCGCCAACAACTATCTCGTGAAATACTGCGGCAAGGATGCTCTCTATCTACACATGCGTGTTCATTCTTTGCACGTCATTCGGAGCAACAAATTCTTTGTCCTGTGCCGGTGCCGACAGACTGCAGACCGGTGTATTGCGTGGAGCATATGGCAAACCTCAGGGGACAGTCGCCGGTGTAGATATCGGCCAAATGATCATGTGCGTTCGGGGTAAGGAGTGCCAAAAAAAAAAAACCAGATGAGCATGTTCGCTTGTATTGACAAACACAATTGACTGCATTTTAAACTTGTATCTCGTTTCCATATAGATGTGTCGGCCCGATGATAATTTATCGAAAGCTTACGTATGCTCGTCAATTGCTGTTCGGACATTGGTGATCCTTAAAGAGGACGCAAACTGAAGAGCTACTTTGACATGACTACTGTTGGCCGCCGTCCTGTCGTCACCTCAAGAAAAGATAAGTCCAGACATAGTTTTTCCC